ACGATTCGTCGAGTTTTCGGCAATACGTTTCTGAGTTCATTCCCGTTATCGCCATCGGCAAGCAAACTTTTTTTCTATAAGTAGGGGATTGCCTAATAAGGCAATAGCCAGTGTCGAGACCAGCTCGACCCAAAGGGAGCATGAGAGGGCGGAGCAATAAAAAGGGTATTTAAGGGTTGAAACGGGGAGGTCCGGCCCCCCTTGACCAAACCTCGTCAACCCGCTAAAACGCAACGGCCAGCTTTTCCCGCTTAGGCTCCCCTTGCGTTGTTTAGCGATTTGTCGTACAAGCGAATTACCGTATATATATCTCTCTTCGATATCCAATATTTATATATCTAACAATAAACCTAAACGTAATCCGTGGATTCCTACGATTTATACTATTGAACACCGACAGCTAAATTAGGACTCCACAGCCAGTGTTTGTGGTAGATTTAACTATATTTTAAGTGAAAAAATAATAAACAAAATAGGAAACATTTTTTAGGTGAATTTCGGTTGAAAATCGGCCACTTTTCGTCGAAAAATCGAATTTTTACGTTTAGGAATAGTAAAAAACAACTTAGAAACACTCCCCTTATAATATTAGAAACGTTGGATTGCCCCCCCCCCCCACGATAATGCGCAAGAACCCGTTTCTGCAAAAAAAAATATATTTTGTTTTAGATTCGAAGCCGTGATAGCGCGAGTCGCCATCGAAGATAAGGCCGTCACCGAGATGCTGAAAGACCGCGAACAAAAATATGACGAGGTAATTTCCCTAAAATCGTCATCATTTTCTTTTTTTAGGTGGTCACCACCGCCTCGGCCCCGTTCAACAAGACGGTCGCCAGCAGTCCCAAGAAATCCGGCAGATTCGGCCTTTCATTGTTTTCATGATCTCATCCTCCCAGTTTTGCTAGCACCAATTTTGTTTCCGTTTTCATGTTTTTTTTTTTCTTCTTCAGAATTCTATGGGCGTGTAGTTTGCTTCTTCCGTGAGCTTTTCTTTGTCGTTTTTCACTTCTAGTCATTGCCCGGCTCGGTAAGGGCCGATAGAATAAAACATTTTTGGAAAATGATGAAGTTTTGCAGGAAATACACAAGCGGATCACGTTCGAAAATAGTTTTTTCTTTATCGACTATATTTTCTGGGGATCTAGAGGCGGAAGAGGTTGAAAGCACACGCAATACAGGCACAAATGAAATGGCCCAGAGCCGGCGACGACGCGGTCAGGGTATCATTTTGGGGGAGATCTGATGGGGATGGGGATTGTGTGGCGAGTTCCGGGACGGTAGCTTCTCGAGTGGTCAAATGTTCACGATGGTGATTCGCTCTGGAATAATGGTTTTTGATACATGACATTTTATTCTTCGCTTTTGACGCTGGGTTTTCATGATTTTAGAAAGTGAAGAAAAGAAGGACCTTTCGAAAGAATTTACCGTTCATTGTCCATAGGCGAGTCTTGAGTCTCGTTTAGCGCATCCTCCTCTTCCTCTTGGTCCGCTACGCCGACCGCATTTACGGAGAATTGGTCATCTTCTGGCCGCTGAAACCCGGAACGTTTTGCGTTTTTGTTTTACCAGGGGGGCTTTACTCATTAAATCCCCGATAATAAAATGTAGCGTAGTTTGAGAGTGTTTTTAGTAGTTTTACATTGCTGGAAAATTAGAAAAGTACGTACTTGAAGATTTTAAGTTGAATTTTTCGAACATTTTTCATAAATTCGAAAATTTTTATATATTTTACGGATTTTTATATCTTTTTACGGACAACATAAAACATAAAAAGTTGTTGCTAAAGCAACATAAAATGTTTCAAAATAGTTTTCATTTGATTCAAGGGCCGTAAGGAATACCGGGGTTCCCCGACCACTAACAGAAAAGTATCGAATTTTACCCTACCTCCTCTCGCGGTGCTTCAGTGATCCTAGGCTTCGGGGTGCTGGTGAACACCCGAGCTGTCGGCCTTGCCGTCGTGCTACGAGCCCCGGAATTCACCCGGTTCGACGCCGACTCGTCGAGGTCGTCGTTGACCTTCGGGTGGTGTTCCTTTTTCCGTTGTGGCGCTGTAATATTGATCTGATTGCTGGTAAAATTTGGCTAGATTTCAAGCGAGAAAAGCTATTTAGAAAACTTAGAAATTGTTTCAAAAGATGGAATTTTCGTACAAAAAGGAATGAAAGAGCCGAATGAAAATCAGTCTTCCGACTGAACCTACAGAATTTTGGCAGCGGCTCGTCGGTCAACTTTTTGATGGTCGATATCCGAACGACGCCAATCTTGGTGGCAAAGTCGAGCTGGGCGATGCAGCTCATCCGCGCATTCCGCACGCTGCTGTTGACGGCATACAGGAAGGTGGAAGTTGCGAAAGGGCCCTGAACGGATCTTTGGTTATTTTATGGGGATCCTTACAGCCCTCTTTTCTTCCCCGATCAGCACCAACGGGCCGTCGGAAGCCACCGAATTCAGCTCGGCCGCCCCGCCGAATGGGTTCTCCAGCTGGCCACTGTCAGCTTTTACGGATTCTGGACTAAAAAAAGATGTTGGATCGTTATCGAGGGTTGACATATAGGGCATTAAGACCCCCCACCCCCGTTAATAGCCCAGTACCAAAAGCCCTGTACTTACCGGAAGAGCAAATCGAAGAGACAAGCTGTCGTGTAGCTCCTGGATTGTCGATTCACCGTGACGAGCGAGTGTCGAGACGAATCGCTGCCGATTACGAACGAGGAGGCGGGCTCTTTTGATTCTTTTCGATCTGAAATTGAGGGTTAGGAGTTGCTACAAAATGACGTTATTTTTGAACCGTTCAGCCCGTTTAAATTAGCGATAAAGCTGATAACTAGCGTTAGCTCACCTTGCGAATAGTGATCAAAGGTTACGGTGCTCAACAGGCGGAGCGTTCCGTTGCGCAACACCATCTGCTTGGCCGTCCATTGGCGCCCGGCGGAATCGCCGTCGACGGCGTAGACTACGTCCTGAAACGTATTTTTGGTTTTTTTTTAGCTTTGCTAACTTTTAAGACCCTGAAATAAACTGGCTTGCCTGGAATGCAGTGTCGAGGAACGTCTGCGCCGAGTCGAGCCGGAAAGACTCGGAATGTGAGCAGACGAGGAAGCGAATTGAGGTGACTAGTGAGTATCTGAAGGTGCACGTAGTCAAATTTAACCCATTTTTATACCTGAAAACATGAGAACCAAAGAGGATCTCGGGAGGCGGGATGCTCACTTCAAGCGTACACAGGCGAGATGGGCCCTGAATTTGTAGTTTTTTGCCCTGTAGCCTGTAGTCTGTGGTTGATACCTGTCGCATGAGCAGCAACAATGTGGTTGCCGAGAGGACATGGAGCTGGACGACCGACGGGGAGCAGTAGCTGTTTCGAGGGTCTACCTAAAGTTTCCGGGTTGGTTTGGTACTTTTGCATTATCGGGGGGGGGGAAGGGGGACCCAAATATTTTCCTATAGATCCAGAAATATTTGGCGACGTAATAGCAAAGGATTTATTAGTGTTTATAGCCAAATTTTCCCATATTTAAGTGGAAAACTATCCAAAAACGTTAAAAAGTTTTAAATTTTGGTCGAAAATCGGCCATTTTTTGTCTAAAAATCTATTTTTTTTGTATTTGTAACCAGAATTTGTGCATTTTTACATTTATAAATTGTAAAAACTATATGAAACACTAAAAGCCCCCCCCCCCGATAATACAAAAGAACCGACTTTTAGAAAAACAGGTTTTTTAGATCTTTTAAAGTTGAAAAATCCAATCCACCTGAATACCCTTCAAATAATCCAACTGGTAGGGTCGCACGAAGAAGAGCTGGCAGTCCTAAAGCTCGGGTTTCAGCCAAAAATTGAAAGCACCGACCTGGGTGAGTCCGTAGATAATGTAGTCGTCCTTCTCGGCGGTGCCGATCACGTCGCGGAATCGACTGGCCGCACAACTGGAAGGGGTACAACACCTTATTATGATCATAAAAAATGTTTTTATATGAAAAACAATAAATAAAGTGCCACCCACCCTGTAATGAGAGTATTTCCCTGCTGTATTAGTAGAATACTGATGAAAAGCAGTAGATAGGCCACTTTCGTCCAGACTGCCATCACGTGCCAAACATTGCAGGATTGGCGCTGGATTCTTAACCATGAAAATATTCAGATAAATCGTTGCAAAAAAGCAGGGGCATTAAAAGCGGAGAAGAACCATTTTAAAAAGCTGTCGGAACTCGCAAAAAAGCCTAAATATTCTAAAAAACGGCCGTTCGTTTCGAAAACGGCAAGCCAATTGGACCGATTAATTCGGTATTCCTAATTTTATTTGCCCTTGCGCCGCCGAACGTTTTGTAAAAAACGCGCCATTCGCTTCAAAGCGAGGATCGGAATGCCAATTTTATTCGCGAGTAGTGCAGTGGGATTCGCGGCTCTTTTCCATTAACGGGGGGGGGGATTTTTTACGAATTTTTTAAGAATTCGAAATTTCGGTGGAAAATCTGATTTTTTACCATTTTGAAACAGAATTTAGACAGCTTTCTCTTTTACGTATCTTTTACGTAAAACTACAGATCGGCATTCTAAATTTTTGGTATTTTTTGTCAAATTCGTAAAATTTAAAGTGGCATTGAACCGCAATTTTTACAAAAAAGTCAGGTTTGGTCGAAGCTGCGCATTTTTTATTTACGTAATACAAAAGCTGTAAAATTTCTGCATTTAGCAATTTTTAGAATTAGAATTACAAAAAAGCAATTTCGAAATATTTTGATGGAATGAAAATAAGCGGCAAAAAGAGTTTAGAGACACTTCCTCTATTTTTATGGGCCAGAAAAATTGGATACGAAAGAAAATGTTACCCCCCCCCCCCGATAGTGCAAAAGCACCCGTTTGTCAGCTAGCCAATTCTCGAAAGCAACACCGAAAATGCAAATTTGATCCCCGGAGGAACGGCTCGTCATCAGGGGGGCGGACAGGTGGGAGAGATGAGGGAGAGTGATGGGCCTGAAGGGCCTTTTCCCGCAACCAGAAGCTGTGCTGGCGGGAATGCTGTCACAAAACGAGGCTATCATCGGCCTCTAGGGACTAGGCGTCCAGTAGGGCGAACATTTCGAGATATACTACATAACAAGACGTATGCACAAATCAGTGGGTTCGCAGATAGCGTAGAAAATGGTACTTTGGCATTATCGGGGGGGGGGGAGGCAATTTTTTTGTATAACTCCAAAAATGCCTACATACGTAATGTTAATGATTTTAATAGCGTTTTAGTCAAATTTAACAAGTTTTCAATTGGAAAACCATCTAAAAATGTTAAAATTCAAAATTTTGGCCGAAAATTGATGTCATTTCGCATTATTTAATGTAAAAATTGTGCGTTATTGGCTTGAGGGATAGTAAAACAAACCGAGAACAACTTTATTCGATAGAAACTCAAGAAAAGAATTGATTCCTCGATACACCCCCCCCCCCGCTAGTGCAAAAGCACGGAAAATAGTTACTTTACGCCAAAATATTTTTAATAACCTAATAGAAAGTTTCTTGATAGAGTCTTTAACCTAATCGAGCGATATTTCCAGCTAAAAATATCTCGAAAACTAAGGCAATTTTTCACAAGTTTAGCTTTCTATAAAATATCAATGAATTCCAGGTGATGAGCCTCCCAATTTTACGAAAAACCTAGAAAATACAAACTAAAATTTACAAGAAATCTGGCATCAGAGAAACTCAAATTTTTTTCGAATAATACACCCGTTCGTTCGCCCTGCTTCCCAACCAGGTGCCCTAGCGGGGGAAATCCGGAAATGCCCAATTTTCCCCTCCGGCCATGACCTATGGACGGCCAAATAAGGGGGCGGGGAAGAGTGGGATGGATCATTGCGGAACGGAGTTCTTTGACTGGCTAGTGAATTCAGTAAATTCTAGTATAACCGCTAATGCAAAAAAAAACCTTCGGCGCGATGAGAAATAGAACTATACTTGTCCGATCAGCTGAATTGTCGTGTTTTTGGTTTCTTCTGATCGAGTTAAGGGATTTATATGAGTTAGGAAAAACCTACTTTTAACTATTTTTTTCAGCTTAGAAGCATTTTTTCGGCCAAAAATGCAAAATTTCAGATTGTTGAGGAGCTTTCGCACTACCGGGGGGGGGGGGGTAACGGTTTCCGTAAAAGACCATTTTTTTAAAACATAATTTAGGGACGTATTTCCGCGCTGTTTTTCGCTAATCCAAAGCGCAAAGATTTTACATATTAAAAATGACCAAAATAGCGATTTTTCGGCCCGCAAAACATGCCCAATTTTCGACCCAAATGTCAAATTTGGTAGTTTCCACCTGTATCGTTAAATTTATTAAAATCAGACTAGGCATTTTTGACTCATAGAAATACCCCCCGATAATGCAAAAGCGCCCTAAATTCCACCAAAAATAACAACGCCAAAAACCAGCGTCCGGGCGAGCACATTATAAGCGGTGTCTCCTCGGGCATGCCGCGGCGGGACCCTTCCCTCCAGAAGAAGCGCCGAATTGACAAATGGATCTCGAGGAGAAGCAGCTAAAAAGCGGGCGCCAAGAAAGGGGGCTAAAAGACACCTTTGAGAAGATGCATCCCCGGGATTACCCCCCTTCAAAGCATCTCCACCCCACATCACCCCCCGGTCCCCCCGAAAAGCCCTTATTATTTGCAGGGTATTTACATAGAAATAGGGATTGTATATAAAATATCTATGTAATCGATTTAAAATTACCGAACAACTATAATTTTAGTTCTTTTGCATTATCGGGGGGGCTTTTTCATGAGATCAAATTGCTTCCGAAAAAAAAAGAGATTTTTCTGGACTTTCGAAAACTTATTTTTTGAAGTTTGGTTATTTCTTGCTTTTCGGTTCTTGTGCTTTATCGGGGGTGGGGGCTTTGCATTGCATTTTTTTAGAAAAATCTTCTTATTAGAAAAATAGAGCGTTTTTCTAGCCTTTTTCACTTCTTTTTGGAAATGTTTGGAAGCGTTTTTCCTTTTCGGTTCTTTTGCATTATCGGGGGTGGGGGGGGGCGAGGCTTTTTTAAAAATCCAGAACATTTTTGTAACTTTTCTAGATAAGATCTTTGATCGAAAAAACGCAAAAATTTTATTTAAAATCCATAAAATTGATTAATTTTCTTTAATAAAAACCATATTTTCAAAATTCAGAAAAAGAACAGCGCGGGACCCCGGGGAAATCCATGGAACGGCCATCTCGAACCGATAAATCTTCGCCAAAGGGCTTACCGGCACCCCGCTTTTTTGTGGGACGGCGCACTTTTGGAGAAGGGCTTTAGGCGAAGAGCTTAGAAAAGGCGAAAAAAGCTGAATTTTATTTAAAATTTCTCACGAATTTTTCGGAACGGATTTCTGAATTTGGGAAAAGGTAAATTAGACAACGTGCACATTGTCGAAATTGTTCATGTATAAATTTCATAATTATTGGTATTTCCTGGTGATGAAATTGAGAATGTCGACATTTCATACCATCGAAAACTATACGGTCGAAATGCATAATGCCGAAAACGGATAATCTAGAAATTTCATAATGTCGAAATTCCTACTGTTGAAATGTTATAATGCAGAAATTTGATAATGCGAAATTCATAAAATCGAAATTACTATTTTCGAAATTCCATACTGCCGACATTTCACCATGTCGAAGTTCATAATGCCGAAATTCATGCTGTCGAAATCGATAATTGAAATTAAGAAGACTGAACTCCAAAATGCCGAAAATTCATAACGTCGAAATTTCCCATGCTGATAGTTTCAAAATAACCCATTTTGAACATTGCCAGGACAACAAAGTTGCCCTTTCCTTCATCAACTTATGAATTTTCGGCCAAGTTTTTCGGCGAGAGCTATAAGAAAAAGAAGCCCCAGCGGCCAGGTGCATAAAAAATGGATTGTTCCGGCGACAAAAAGGTGCCCAAATTTTCATATTCTTGAGCGCGGAGTAGGAGGGGGAAGGGAGGAGGACCCTGGAAGGCCCCCTCCACCTCCCTCTCAAAAGGTGCGTCGCGGAATTTGATTTTTTTTCGTGCTCACCCCTGGGGGGAATAAGCAACTGGATGCGGCCGCGGGGGTTATAACTAGGGTGCGTAAGGGAGCATCGAGTGGACAACAAGGTACTACGAAAGATACAGCGGAAAGCGGTTCTTATACACTATCGGGGGGGGACTTTTCCTTGAACTCTTTTTTCTAAATTAAATTGTGTGACACACTGTTTTTTACCATCACTAAACGTAAGCAGTTGACAAATCTAGGCACTTTTGCATTAACGGGGGGTGAAGCGAACTTTCTTCTTTAATAGCCAACTTTTCTAATATAATAGGAGAAGTGTTTCTAAGCTCGTTTTAATACCATTAAACGAAAAACTTTGCAAGTTTTTATGAAAAAATTTTTAAAATGGCGATTTTTCGAGCAAAAAATAGCTTTTCGAAATTAAAATTTGATAAGGATTTTTTAGCTAGTTTTAACATTAAAATGTTTACGTATTAGTCTACTAAACATATCTGGACTCGTGCTCGAAAACTTAGGTTCTTTGGCATTATCGGGGGGTGGATGCCGACATTTTTTGTCGCGCACCAGAAATGCCTAGTATAATAATAGCAAGTATTTTAATAGTTTTTCTTAATATTTAAGGAAATCTCAGGTGGAAAGACTACCCCAAAAAAATTAAAAATTTTGAAACAAGGGCGAAAAGTCGGGATTTTTCGTAATTTTAATGCAAATTATGTGAATTTTTACGCCGTGATTAGACCAATTTTACCCCCTGATAACGACACAGAACCGTAAAACCTGCGGTTGAAAAGGCAAAGCATCCGGAAAATTTAGATGCAAAACCCATAAAAAAAGAGGGCGCACGAGATAAAAACGGCTAATTCGTTTAGGCAGCCGGCCGATATGCGGGGGAGAAGCGGACAAAAAGCCTGGAGGGCAGCAGCAGGATTGGCCCCCTGGGGGTGGAATGGAATTATGCAAACACAATGGGAACGGCCCCCCACATCCCAACAAAAACCCCCGCTTCAAATCTATGCCCTTTTACGGGTTCGGCGTCCACTTGTGGTGAAAATTAACAATAAGCAAAAAGAAACAAAAAAAAAATAGCATAGCGCACGAAATTTTATAAGAAAAATGTAAGAAGGGGCAAATCATGCTTTATCTTTATTCTCCAGTTTTTTAATCTAAAAGGAGGATATGTTTTGAAACCGTTTTTGCTCGTCATAAACGCAGAAGCTACACAAATTTGCATTGAAAACTACAAAATATATGGATTTTAAGACCAAAACTGGCCATTTTCGGCAAATTTTTGAATTGAAAAGTAACCGACGAGGCCGGGAAAACCCGAAAAACTCTCCCCCCATTAATGCAAAAGCTTCTTTTGGCATCATCGGAGTGGGGGATTTTTCCGAACTATGTTAATAGTCTTTTTCAAATAAAATAGCGATATTGAAAGGTTAGAAATTATTCATAAAATCTAGTAAAAAATTTAAAATGGGACATTTTGATAAAAAATCTGAATTTTAGCGTTTCTTTTTTGTAAGCATTTGCAAAGTTTTTCGCTTAACAATCGTAAAATATAGTCTAGGAGCCCTTGAAACACGAATAATAAGGAAAAGCTTGTCCTGCCCCCTGCCCCCCCGATAATACACAAGAACCGAAAAGAAATAACCAAACTATTGCGGCAATTTCTACCCCACGGCTGCACGGTCTATTACGGAAAGAAAGCCGTCCGGCTTCTCCACTGGAGTCTCCCGCTCTCTGGCGAAAAACAAAGCTTTTTGAGGCCGACAGAGCTGTGCTTGCTGTATTTGGGGCCGGGCTTCATCGCGTATTCCCGTTGGCTGGACGGCGCCGTGGCTTCCGCTCTTCTGCTAGGCGCGCAAAAATGGCCGAGCAGCTGGAGCGAATGATGCGAATTAGCAAAAACAGATTCGCCACAAAAAATCTAATTCTAATTCTGGAAAATCGCAAAGTTTTTGTGGGTTTAATTAATTCGTTACATCTAGATCTAGTTAGATCTTAGTTCAAGAATATATTATCTAACGCGAGAATTCCTTTAATCCATTTTTCTCGGAGCTTTCGCATTATCGGGGGTGGAGGGATTTACAAGAAACTTCTAATTTTTCTAATAATTTCCATAAATAGGATCCATTTTGCTAATATAAATAGAGAAATTGTTTCTAAGCTCCATTTTTTTGCTATTTATAGCGTAAAAACTTTACAAATTCGGTTAAAAAGCCCAAAAATAGCCCATCTCATCCCGTCCGAAATTTTGGTTTTAAAATTTTTTCTATATTTTTTAGTTCATTTTCTGACTTGAAAAATGGTTAAATATTATAAAAATAGTATTAACAATGGTTTCAAAAAATTCCGACCCCCCGATATTGCAAAAGAAGTTTTTAGTCTCTCTCTCTCTCGACAAAAATTCGAGGAGGCCCATCAGCTTATTTACTACAATTTAGACACGTAAGAGCTTACAAGGGAACCTCAATTAGCTAATGCTAATTATTCGGATGTAAATTATCATTTTCCGGAAGTGCTGTATCTCTGTCCACAGGTCCATTAAGGAAATTCTGACCAGACCGTTGGAATCGCCATAGTCGAAAACCTAGGGGTAGCCGCGAGCGTTTTTCGAAATTCCACCGTGCCAACTTGAGGTTCCCTTGTTAGTAAATTTTTCATGTAAAAACCACTATTATCGATCAATGCTTTTATTAAAAAATACAATCACAAAAATGAATACATTTCCAGTGGGTGAATCGAGCCTGAAAAACGGCGAGCTGTTGTGGGGGCAGAGGTCGAGGCTGACTGGGTGGCCCCGGTCACATTATACGAGGAAATCGAGCGGATAAAATATGAAAATTGATATGCGCCGGGCGGGACCCGAAAGAATGCGATAGAAAGAATACCCGCACATCCACAAATATCATAGCACAACGCGAAAATAGGTTTTTTTCAGCTGGAAAATGGCCAAAGGACTGAAAAAGACACGCCAGTGCTTAAATTCCAGTCAAAATCACGAAAATATCGACAGGTAAAACAGCCAAAATACCGAAAGCCAAAATCCCGACATTCAAAATCCCGACATTTATAATACCGGCAGGTCAAAATACCGATAGCCAAAGCATGGACAGCGAAAATCCCGACACCGCTATCAACGGTACGCGAAAATCTCGATAGCTACAGTAGGAAAGCTCAAAATACCGACGGCCACAATACGGGCAGTTATAATACCGACAGTCAAAATCCCGACATATTACTGACGCGAGTCTGAATTTTGCTTTAAACAGCTATCTTGCTTGTCGGTATTTTCGCAGACGGAATCTTGGTTGTCGGGATTATTGCTGTCGGTATTCTGGATGTCGGGATTTTGGCTGCAGTTTGTTGTGATTATAGTATGTCGGGATTTTGGCTGTTGGGCTTCTGACTGCCGCTATTATTGCTGTCGGCATTTTGTTTCTCGGCATTTTGGCGTTTCCCCCCGTTGATCCACTATGCCTTAACAAACTTCGATACATTTTGGCTAAAGTGCAACGCGATTCGGTAGTTGTCGGGTAGTTTCCCCAGCATTCCGCTAGCTTTCAAGCTGTCGATTCGTCGCTTGTGATCGGCCGTCTGCACGAGCCGCCGCTTCCCGAGCAACTTCCACTTGTCGGTGTCTGATAGGGTGGCGCTGAAAGGGGGGTATTCAAAAGTTAGAAATTTCTGATGCTTAAAAATCTCGTACCCATCCACAAATCTCCAGCGTGCGACGTCTTCCGGCTTGCGACAAGGCTGGGAAAATGTTTGCTGGTCGATGAAGCGGAAATTCCATTCGTTGCCGATTTTCCTAAACGGTGTGTATTTTTATAGCGTTTTTATTAAAACTTAACGATGCGGCAAGTGTCGCGATTTTTTAAAATCTAGCTAAGCGGTTTATAACCTGAGATTCAGGCGATATCTGGTCTTAATACGATATTTTTTAGTTTTTTAGTGGCAGCTTGTGAAGTTTTTCCATTTAGTTCTATCATGGAAAAAGTTAACCCACGTTTTCTTCCATCCGTGAAAGAAGAAATCGTCGAGCGACCGTCAGCCAGCCGTCACGCACCCACGCACGGTCCTAAAGTTCCGCTAGTTTTTGGTGGTACCTTTTCGATACCTTTTCGTAGATGTGGTATTCTGTCGAGGTGGCGACCGACAGAATATATTCCTGCACGCAGGCCTGATAGTTGAAAAGGCCCTCGTAATTCCTGAAAAATGCTTTGCTTCTGAGTTTATTAGGGGAAACGCGAAAATCCCGAGAGCCATAATCCCGAAATGCTAAAATCCCGACAGCCATAACATCTACACAGCGAAATACCGGCAACTACAATCCCGACATACCAAAATACCGACAACTGTAATTCCGATATCCATAAACCCCACATTCCAAAGACCTACAGCCAAAAAAGCTGTTTAAAGGGCTGCCGACGGCATGTGTCGATCCCCCCTCATCAACAAATTGGCAAGTAGCCAACAGGGGAGAGAGCGCGCCCAGGGGAGAGGCGCAGAGACATTTTCTTTTCCGCGCGTAACCGATTGACTATGCCGTCGGCATCCCTTTAAAACGAAGTGTTACCGAAACTAGCGTAAAGAATATTCGTGATTATCGCTGTCGGTATTTTGGCTGGAATTCGCTAATATTAGCCGGGTTCTTTGGCAGGGGTTTTCAAGCCTGTAATGTTCTCGATTTTCGCTTACTTTGATGCAGCCCAAATCGCCTCGCAAACTTGTCGACTTTCATACAGCTCTGGGTGGAAGTAGTCGACAATAACGTTCTGAATTTTAAAATACTTTGTAGAATTCAACTACACTAATTAATTTAACAAAACTAATTAAACTATACTCACGTTTATGGCCCCGTTATCGGTCCCAAAATACGGGTGCTCTTGGTAGTAGTTGGCCCAAAAATGGAGGAAACCGAGGCCCCGTTGTGTATTTCTGGAATCATGATGGTGACATGCTAAAAGGGGCCCCAATTACCGTACGATATAACTGCCGCTGGCCACCTCGTCGTTGTAGAAACGATTGTAGAAGACGAGATTGAGGTCCTCAGTTAACGTATAGTTTTCGAGGCGATGCAGTGGGTTGACGACGCCTGAAAAAAGGTAATTCTGATGAACTAAAATTCGTGCATTTTTAGTTCTGGTTCATTAGCGGGGCGTGGCTAACTTGGTTTCAGCCTCACTTTCATAAACTAGTGTTCTAAATAGTTTTCGAACGCTAAAAAGTGGGAAAACATTTTTTATAAATTCGATGTATTCGCTTTTTGATGAATTTCAAAAATTTTTGAGCAAAATGTGTAATTTTCAGACGTTTTTATGAACTTTTTCTATGTAAAAAGCTGTAAAAGGTTATTAAAATTATTAAAATTAAATTTAGGGTTAAAATTGTTTAGCTCCCCCCCCGCTAACGAACAAGAACCTATTTTGTGGGGTAAACTAGCAGAGTTTCTAGGGGAAAATACATTTTTTTTAAACCGTCAAAACCGGCCTACCAATATCCGCATCGAGAAACAGGGCCCATCCGTATTGGCTGGCCGCCAAAAACTCGGCCAGCGCGCAGTGACGCCGGAACATGAACTAAAGGATAGGCGCTATTACATTAGCGGGGGGTGTAAAAGTCCAAAAATGCCTAAAACCGTAATTGAAACTATTTTAATAGTGTTGTTAAAAGATTTAACTATATTTCAAGTGCAAAAACCCGCTACAGACTTTGAAAATGGTAGTATTTCGGTAAAAAATCGAAATTGTTGTAAATTCGATACATAGTGGGTGCCAGCCGCCAGCCGCCAGCCCCACCCCCCGATAATGCCATAGAACCCAAAAATACTAAATCAGGCAAAGATGCGGAAACCCAATAACATACGTCTTTTTGCGGGCATTTCTGGGCCAAGCCCGGTTCCTCGGCCAAGTTGAGCACTTGCATCGCGTATCCTTGCAAATTTGCGTAGCAGCTGATCGAGCCAAGCTGAAAAGGGGTTGACAATAATTCTTTAATACGAAGACCCACCGCAAATTCGTATTCCTCGGAATTTCGTGAATTCTCAACGACCACGACGATGATAAAGGTGTCCGACAAGGGCACGGGATTTGAGGCTCGATCTCCTGCATATTTTTTTGGATTCCAGGACCCGGAAGTAGCGGATTATTTTCAAAATGTCGAAAATCATAATGTCGAAATTCATAATGTCGAAATACCGAATGTCGGAATTTACATAGGCTAATATGTAAATTCCCCCGAATCCATGCAAAAAAGTTCGACATTTTGAATTTCGACATTATGATAGCAATTCGGACGTAGTACCTCTCGTCCGCAATAAAAATGGTTGATCTTCTGTCCCTCTAAAGTTGGCAAAGGAGGATCCGTAGTTGATGACAACATATAGGAGGCAAAAGCCTGCGCCCAGTGCCACCCAAAAAACCCGGCACCTCATCGGTCAACGCGACCGCATGTTTTCTGCAAATTTTAGAAAAATTTCTATACAGGAAAATCACGTCAATAAATGAAGTATTTTCGTATTTTTACACAAAGAAACGGACACGAATTTTTCAGAAACTCAAATAGGGTACTTTTTATTCAGGAGCGTTTAAAACTGCTATCCGGCATCGCAGAAGCATTTCAAGTACACCGAAAAATACGCATTTTTTGGGCTACCAAGCCTACTAGTCGCATTTGCATGTCCAGCCAAGATCGCCGAGAAAACGGCCAAAAACTTCATTTTCCTATCATTTTGGCATAAATTTCAACTGAACAACACCTAGCTGAAAACTTTAAAAATTCGACATCTTGGGCGAAAAATAGATATTTTTGTATCTTTTAAGAATTTGTGAAGTTAATACTTTCGGCATAGCAAAAAACGTCTTAGAAACAATGTATCTCTTTTTATTAAAAAAACTGCATCCTGAGAAAAAAGTTGCGCCCTCCCCCGATATTGCAAAAGCATCAGAATTGCTATCAGAATGTGGACGTTTCATAATGCCGAAATTTCGTACTGTCGAAACTCTTTGGGTTGGATTTCGGTGGTTTTCTGGGATATTTGCTTATGTAAATTTCGGCATTATGTATTTCCGCATTAATATATTGATGATTAATATATTGATATTGATATTGTATATATTGATATTAAGAAATTTCGGCATTATGAAACTGCGGGAGTTTCAGCATTTTGAAATTAACGCGAGTTATATATTTTTTATTAATAATTTTGAGACAGTAATTACGCTAGCAAAAGCCTAGGGGGAAAGTAAAGCATCGCCAAAAAGGCATTGCCAGATACGGATCAAAGTAGAGCGCCATGGCAATGAAGCGTGAGGGGGGAGGGGGGGAGAGCGCGCGGCCAGTGAATGCAGTAATTGAAGCCATATATCCGTCATAGCAGCTCTCCAGGATTCCCCCGGCAACCGTTCACCCTTCCCCCGATTCGTCAACAACAAATTGTCGCGTGCCTCCCGCGCGACTACACACAATTTTCCGTGTCGGATTTACGGTTTTACGCGCGCAGATTTGCAGGTAAAACCGGGGGCTTAAAATGGAGGCCGTGGAAAGGGCAAAAACAACTGCATAGGTTTGTAAAGCTCGTAATCGGGAGGTAATACGTGGTTTTACATGGTTTTAGAATTTTAAAAATACCGTGAAAACTTCGGATCTTTTCCATTATAGGGGGGGGAGTTGTGTGGTCAACGCTTTTTATAAGTCCCGAAATGCCTAGAAACGTAAATTAAGGATCTTCATAGTGTTTTTAGTCAAATTTAATGATATTTCAGGCGGTGAAACTATCCAAAAAATCAAACATTTTCTAAAGATCCAAATTTTTCGTCGAAAATCATTCATTTTGGCTGTAAATGTGGAAATTGATTGGCAAAAGGTATTTTTGAGAGCTTTAGAAATTTTTTGAAATTTTTGGGTGCTAACAATCGGCCGTACTGCCAAGAATGAAAGCGATTTTTGCGGGAGTCGCCGCGTCATCGCGTCAAAATATATTCTGCAGCTGACCGGTATTCGTCCTGGCAGCGGAGGGAATACGAATTTTAGCGATTTTTCCACATTTTCCAACAGTTTCCTGAACTATTGGTATGCTGGGGATTTTTGGCTGTCGGCATTCTGGCTGTCGGTATTTTCGCTGTCGTGACTATGGCTGTTAATATTTTGCCTGAAGATATCTTGAACTGTCGGGATTTTGGCTCTCGTGATTATGGCTATCGGGATCCTCGCTGTCGGCATTTCATGGCTGGCGGGTTTTTGGCTGTCGGTATTTCGACTGTCAGGATTTGTTCTGTCGAGATTTGTCTGTCGGTATTTTGTTTGTGTGTATTTTCGCTGTCGGTATTTTAGCTAAAATTCCTTATATCCCCGATGTATTCAACGTTAATCCCGCGACTTTACTCAAACCAACAATTTACGAACCGTGTGCGCTACATTGTAAGATCATCATTATTGCATGGAGGGGAAACGACGAGATAGCCAGAGGAGCAGAGAAACAGAGAGACAGAGAAGAGTGATGGAAAGTGTATTGCTTCGGAATCTGGGTACGAATCGAGTTGTGGGGGTTATGGCTGCTGTGGCTGGCGGTCCTTCAGATATGTTGGGAAGGAGTATTTCGCATTTTTCGGGTACAACGGAGGGCTATTGACGATGCGGGCGGCGCACTGAGTCGCCTCGTCGGCCAGCAGCTGAAATACGGGTTTCTTACTTTTTTAGAAAACTCAGAAAAATGTCAGATTGGGAATTTAGTCGAAGTTCGCGTTCTGGTTCGGGAAAATCGTAATTTTTATTTTTTTCGGTAACCGGAGGCTTACCAGAATCTGACGCTGCAGCTTCTGAATCTCGCGTAGTCGATCAAGGGCCGTCACCGGCTCGCAAGGGTCATCGCTGAAATTAAAATAAATAAAATTAGGAATTTACACAACCCCTAACAATACTTTGTAAAAGAAGCTACAGCGAGTATCTTAAATAATAATAGCTTTTTGAGAAAAATTCATCTAAATTGAAGGGAGTAACTAATTGTAAAACTTAGAAAATGTCTACTTTTTTCGGTTTTTTATCCAAAATCGCCATTTTATTTGAAAAATCTATTTTCTTGTGGTTTTTATTAAATAAAAATTTGGGCCAGTTATACTAAAAAAGCGTGTAGAAATACTTGCTCTGTTAATATTATAGCAATTTGACCTATGGAAATAAGGTCCCCCCCCGATAATGGCAAAGCCCCCGGAAATGTTATATTGTGATTTGGAGCCGATCGTAGTGTAAGAATTGACAACGAAAAACGATCTAATTTACTGTATCACCGCATGACGTCGGCAAGTGAAAACAACGTACAGCGGGCTCCACTGGGGCCGGGCGGGGGCTCGCTTTTGCCAATTGTCCGTGAACGTCATCTGCCCCATCACCACTCCGAAGAGAACCACCATCAATGCCAATCGGCAGCCACCAGTCGACAGCATTTTTTGTATTTGCACCAAGATGAGGGCCCGGCGAGGTGAGGCTGAAAATGAGTGCTGAAAAGTAGCCAAAAATCCCGAAAAGCGTGAAGAAAACGACTTCGGAATGTCGTTAGTTAAATCGAGGATAGCAAGCGGAAATTATTAAGTTCAGTCATACCCATAAATCACGAAAAATAAAACAGAAAAGACTCAAAACTAGCCATTAAAGGACCGCAGAAGTTGAAAAAAGCCTTTTCCAAAAAAAATTAAAAAGTTTACGTTTACTCCTCATTTTTTTCAAGAAAAGGTGAAATTCCTGAGAATTTTAAAAAATCTCCTACAAAATTTCATATATAAAAATCCGTTAAAACTATTAAGAAGCTTATGCTATATATTCAGCGATGGGGTATTATCTGGGAACACAAGATAGAAGAATCCCCCCCCCCCCCGATACCACACCAGCTCCCGAGAATTTTCGCAGCAGAAAAGTGGGGACTCCGAGGATATCTGGGGGGATTACGGTAATGAGCCAAGGGGCCCCGCAGGCCACAAAAGGCACAAAGGGCCCACCGGGGCCCACAAGTAATTGGCCAGGAGGCCCTCGCCCCACAGCAATCCCCATTTTTTGGCCACGATCATCAATCTGCATCACCGGATTTATGAGGATCAAATACCGCGACCAACCGCCCGGGGGATAAGCGCCCCCAAAAAGGCCAAATTTATTGGCGCGGGCAGGGGGCGCCGAAAGAACAGGGTTTTCTGGTTGGATTAACACCTTAAAAATGCAATTTATGACAACGAGTCAAGACAGGGAAAGGTCGCAAAATAGGAAACAACCAAACATTACTGGTTTTCAGTTTTGGCTTGAAAAATAGGCGAAAAATTCGTCGGCTATGGTTAACAAAAATCTCGAAGTTTTTATTGAGGCTTTAGAGAGAGGATTTTAGGGAAAATGCTGTCATCGCACAGGACACATACGTTATTCGGAGTACATCGTAGTTGCGTGAAAAAGCCACGAATTTCTTACTGGCAAGTAGCGCCGAAAATTACGCGTACGCAGCGTACTTTATTATCGTTGGCCATCAAGGCTAAATCGTAAACTCTAAGAAATGCTGAAAAATCGGGCTTTGGACCGTTATCGTGGGAAAACTCTAAATATAAATTGAGGAAGTGTCCCTACCATTATTATTATCAAGGTCAACAATTTGCAAGTATTATCCAGGAAATTACAAAATATCGTTCCGCGAAAAAATGGCGGATTTTCTACACCGATTCTACATTTTTTGAAAACTTTCGGTACTTTCCCGCCTGGAATTAGTTTCATTTTATAAAAAAACAGGACAGAAATCGGCGTGGGTAAACCTTTTCGGCCGAAAAATTAGAATGCGTCCGTACGAAATCGGCCGGCCGCCATTCGGTGACCGCTGTTTACATTTAAAACCGGTAAAAACTTACAACTTTTTATTAGGGTATACAAAAAACCCCTTTTCGGACACAAATTAGCAAATCAAAAGGCAATTAGAAATTCAACCTCCTTTCTCTCGCCTTTTCGAGCTTTCGATAGATACCTAAATCGTACTAAAATCGGCTGCGGACCGCCAGGTGGGGTTTTGGGACCCCTATATATTAAAACAATGGTTACTAGGCATTTTATGACCTATCAAACAAACGACCCACCCCCCCCGATAATGCCAAAGAACCGACAAGTCTTGCGCCACACGCGAGTACCCATGAAAAAACACACAAATCCAGATCCAGAAATCTCATTTCCTATCCCAAGGGTAGTTTTCCGCCTAGGACTTGTGGGTGGAAAAGATGATTGAAATTCCGGGACAATAGCGGATTAACCGGTTGATGGGGTTGGGGAGATTTGGTGGGTTTGTTGAGATGGAATGAGCCCCAGATCTACTCGCCGGAGCCTCTGGCTTCGCATGTCCGAGGCCCCGCCCCCATTCCCGGCCACTCCTGATGACAGTAGACTTAATAAATAGGGGTTTTTTCCATCATTGATTGGCTTCCAAAGCGTCTAAGCGTCTGAAGCTGAAAAGGATGAAGGTCGCGTAGACTCACGCGCGTGCGTTGCGTCTATCATTCACAGGTTGTAGCGACAAGCGACGCATCCTTACTTCCCGGCGCTTTTTTACACCTTTTCAAGCTTTTTAAAGCTTTAAACTAACTTAAAGCTAAATAGCACATAGAATAAAACCTACATAGTAGGATGCGTACTCAACGGTTTGGAAACGTCGTGCTTCACTTCCAAATACTTTTTCAAAGTTATAAAAAAAAAAAAAAAAAAAAAAAAAAAAAAAAAAAAAAAAAAAAAAAAAAAAAAAAAAAAAATAAAAAAAAAAAAAAAAAAAAAAAAAAACAAAAAAAAAAAAAAAAAAAAAAAAAAAAAAAAAAAAAAAAAAAAAAAAAAAAAAAAAAAAAAAAAAAAAAAAAAAAAAAAAAAAAACCAAATTTTAAAAGAGCCTGAAAAAACCTAGAAACTGGGAAAATGTAAATAGCGCACAGAATACAGTGTGCAAAGTAGCAGCACCGCGTACTGAAAGGTTTCGATACGTCGCGCTCCAGTGCACTGGTTTTACAGTGAATTGCACCCCGAAAAAAGCATTTTGTCCTGTAAATAACGCCATTTTTACAGTATTTTCGTAGGCGTGAAATACCGGAGGGCGTTCAATACAGCGTTCTCCAGCTAGATTCTAGGCAAAACTGCGCAAGCGACATCGCTACAAATCTCAAAACATCTCCCCCGAACGCCAGAAGCTGATCCGCAGACCAAAAAACGTCACTATGTCCTCCCGAAGCCCTTGTGAATATACAGGGCAAGATTGGTGAAATATTGTGGGGTCAATCCCTGAGAATCTGGCTTCCCATCGGCGCCTATAAGGGTTTCTTGCCCCCGGCCTCACTTCCTCGCCCAACCCCGCAAAGAATCAGCGAATCTCTGGAAAAAGCGCGGCCATCACCACGGGAAGCCCGGCAAACAATTGCCTTGCAAGTTCAGGGAATGTTGATGAATTTCTGTGTGTGCGTGAGTTTCCCGGATTTCCGAGTTTGACTACATTCCGAAACAGTGAAAGCCCCTAAAACTCTCAAGGGCCATTTTCTAATAACTCCTAAACTTTTTATAAAAAACCTAAGCCTAAGCCAAAGAACCCTTAAAAGTTGTCTGGCCGATCTTCCAGCCTTCTATGCTGATTTTGTGCGCATTACTTTTCAGTTTTAGTCTCGAAAACTCGGCTTCAGCCTACAAAAATGTAACTTAAGATTAGCACACAAACTACGACAAATAAAAAATAAATTGATAAAAAGACGCCGTTTCCGTTTTTTCCGTTAGAAGAAAAACGTTTCCGCTTCAATTCAATTGAATTTTTGCAGTCCAATGGTTCATTTTTCTAGTCTAAAGGTAGAAATTCGACCTCAGCGCAGAAACTGTACGCCTACGTACGCCTACGTAGTTTGAGAAAATCTTTGTTTGCGAACCTGTACAGGGTGTATCAAAAAAAAGTGCCCAAGTTTGTCCCCAATTATCTCGAGAAGGAAAGATATTTCACCGTGCGTTACCATGCCAGAATGCTTAAATATGTCAGGAATAGGGAAATAACTCAACTTGATTTTTTCGATTTTTGGCGACGTATCAATACAAATGACACCCGAAAACTGTGCGTTCGGGGAAACTTCACTTGCATTTTTCTCAGTTTCCTGTGGTGGCTGGCTTCTAATCTTTACAATGCAGGTGAATCTAAGCAACAGATATGCACCTAAAAAAATTTAGATTTTTTGAGGGTCTGCTTCAAAAGTTATGCACCACTGAAATTTTGTATGTAGAAATTTCGTGAATTTCGTGTATTACAAAAACCTGTGGTGGAAATGTCAAGATAAGTGGTTTTAGAAGATCTACGGGCTCGACACAATCGCATAAAAATATTTTAAAATTTTTCAAGATCTATGAATTTTTGAGTTTTTCGACGACCCCCTGGTCATGGATTTTTTTCGGGTCACGGCAACGAACTTCAGAAAAATATTTCTAAAGTTGCAGATCGAACTCGGCTATTTTCTTTTCTTGGTTATGTAGGACTGGGTTTTATCTATCATCTACAAAAATTTGAGCTACCGTACCCCCTCGGAAGGGCGTCTTTTAGGACCCCCAAAACGGTTGGTTCGTGCTATTTTGCAGACCTTACTTCCTTTCTATAAAATTTAACTGTGCCGTTAAAATTCTAGCCTCATTTTTTTTGATACTATCTGACTGGCGCATTCAAATAGTATATTTACACATTTATTCAGCCATACGCAATCTCAAAAGAAATTCATGAAAAGCCCAAATATACCCGAATTCGAGGCTATGTAAAAAAATGCTCGATGCGCTAGTAGCCGTGAAATTTTTAGCATAAACCAAGCTTGGGTATTCAATTAAAAACCATGCAAAGAAAAAACTTTTCTATGGCAAACGATTTTAGAAGAGCGCCTCAAAGTCGATTTTTCAAAAACGTTATTTTCGGCTTTTAAATCAAGATCAACCATTAACTTTAGTCAGATCATTCCAGAATGTTGCTCTGATACACAGTTCGATGCGTTCTTTAATTGTATCCACCAAACCCCGATGCCTTTTTCATTTTCAAAAATTCGATTTTCGAGCCAGGGCGTCGGGTCCAAAATCGGGGCCCGAGGGGGGTTTTCCTCTTTCCCTGATAACTTTGTCATTTGCCACAGGAATCAAATAATTTTTTGTAGGTGCTCTTACAATCGCCCAGTGAACAGTATAAAGTCGAAAAATTGGCACTTTATGGAATTTTGTCTTGGCATGCTAAAACGCGCTCCAGGCGGGTTACTGTAGAAAACAGAAAATCGTCGTTTTCTCGTTCTTTTCACCATAGAAACGTTTCGATCTTTCGGGAAAACAAATAATGGTAGTTTTTAGTCCGATGCATCAAAATATTTAAGAAATTTCCGTGGCTAAA